CAATAACATCTCGGTGTAGCATAACAATAACATAAGTAACCACACCACACTATTCCTCGTCAGCACATTCGACCGATGTGTATCCAACAGATGGTTTGGTCATGTTATGAGGAGAGAGAGTTATGTTACATTTTAAGATACGTATATGGATGTGAAGACCAAAACTCACATAAGTGAGTGAGGGAAATCGAGGGACGCTGCCCTGGCGATATTTGAAAACATTCTCCATTATAGCGGTGACCTCGACTATGCAACGGTGTTGTAGGCGGACGTCAACTGTGTTGGCGATCATGGACGGACGTGGCCCCAGAGAACCGGGAGCGATGTCTGACGATAGCTTTAATGGACGACGCTTGGTACAAACGGTGATGACCAGTAAACCGATACAACGATGATGTTGAGCGTTGTCTGTCACAAACAGGTGACAGCAGTGGTAGTGGACGATGGTTGGCAACAACGGCTGGACAGCGACAGTTTAGAATTTAGATGAATTAAAATTTCAATTTCATAACTGACATTAACTATCAAAAGTCAAAAAATCGAAAGTTTACTTTTTTCTGTTAGTAACGAAATATACTACCAGTTCATAATTTTTCGTAATATCTCCGTCAAAATTACAATTCTAAATTATTGAAGTACAATTTAATACCAAATTTAATTGCTATAAAATGTACTTATAGTTCATTAATATTCATGTATATACTTAAAAATCCTAAACCTTGTGACTAAGATATAATCAAGGAAATAGGAGTTTATGTTGTTTTTGGAATAGTTCAACAATTGCTTCTTAAAATTAAACACTATCTACAAATTTGCATTGAAGTACTTTTAATGATAGTGATTTTAATCACTATCAGATATCATCTAATTGTCCTAACTATGTGGCGTTCTCACAGTGTTGGATATTTTTAATTGACGAAAGGAAAAAAATTTACTAAAATAATGAATTCCTGTAAAATAGTTAATAACATATACTTTTTAATTTTAAAAATTAACTGTACAATTATAATTTTATTTTTTTAAGTTTTAATTATAGGTTTTATCTTATTGAGTACCAGTATTTTTCAAGGGAGAGTATTTCCCCTTTAACCCTCCACAATGGATATCCATACAAATTGTAATATATATATTTTTGTAAATTTATAACCTTATTAAAAGTTTAATTTATAATACTAGCTTTTTAATTGTAAATTAAGTAGAAATACATATTTTTAAAAGTAAACAGATTTTATTGTTAGATTAACTCTAAAAAGAATTATGATATGTAGACTAAATAAATCAAACTCTTTGGAAAAATATGATTATGTTATAAATATAGTTCATTGAGTGTAGTTGTGATTATAATGATATATTATTAAACTATGAAAATATATTTTCTCCTAAGTGTTTAAACTTTTTATTAAATAACATTAATATTATTTAGATTACTTTATTATTACAAATTTTTCAAATTAAATTTAAAAAAATGTTATTGAAAATTTGAATTCAATTTTTTAGCTTCAATGCGAAGCTGAGAAGGTATTGGTTTTACTATGATGTGTTTTTTTTTTTTTTTTTTTTTTTTTTTTTTTT